AACCGTCCAAACCTCTATAACATACCTGCAGCATACCTGGAGAGTGTCTATATATATAAAATATATAGTGTTAATATATAACAGCGCCTAGAGCTGGCGACGTCACGTACCTGGGACCTTGCCAGACTTTCTGGCAGTTCTCCAGAGTGCATAATAGGGAAGAGAGAGAGAGAGAGAAGCACACACATACCGACAGAAACGTGAAACTTAGGCCAGTATGCCTTTTTAACGTTATTGTACTAAGATAACTAATAATAATAATAATTAAAATAATAATAATAATAATTAAAATAATAATAATAATAATTAAAATAATAATAATAATAATTAAAAAAATAATAATAATAAAAATAATAATAATAAAAATAATAATAATATAATTTTATGTAAAGTACATACACACAAAATGAGTTACAAATAGAATGTTGGATTTCTAGTTAGAAATCCTAGTGTATACTAGCTCTAGATAAAGCTAGTGTGTACACTATGCCTAAAGCTACTAGTACGACAGTTTGTTATATGGATAGTTTCTAATTTTAATTCAGAATAAGAAATTAGTTATTTTTCATTCTAAAGACAACAGAATGTTTGTTGATTGATTGATTGATAAAGATTAAGCCTCCCAAGAGGTGGCACGGGCATGAATAGCCCGTAAAATGTTTGTTGTCCAACGCAATGTATATGAGACCAAACAACCCGCTTAACCTGTCCAGACCAATGTATGAAAACGACAATATAACAGTGCTTTAGACAACTACGGGCTCACCATAGCCCGTGCTTCTTGGAGCTTTTTGTTCCAGGTAGCGAATCTTAAACAACGGTGCTTTAATTTTTACAAACACATCGTGTTCTTAACGGTTTGGCGATTCCGTAAAAAAATGCGACGCATTAGGTGATAGTTGTACACATGTGTAGCCTACTGTGCCACAGGACCAGGCGTCTACTCAGGAGGCCTGGTCGACGACCGGGCCGCGGGGACACTGAGCCCCGGACCCCTCAAGGTAGGTAGGTAGCGGTACAGCAATAAAATAATAATAAAAAAAAGTTTTTCTTCTCTAACGTAAGGTTGGAATACGCGGGAGATAAACCCAACTGGACAATCCCTAAGGGCTTACCACAGAGTGAGCAGCAGAGGAATGCAAAACGCGTGCAAGAGGAGTCTGTAATTATTTAACGAACGCGCCAAGCCGGGAAAACTGTAATATTGCGACTACAACAGGAGAGGAACATAGTTCCCCCTGTAACACAAAAAAAATCACAATTAGAGAAAACGAAAATAACACGATATCGCTCGAAGCGACATAGGAAAACATCTATGAGAGCGCTCTATGAAGGCCTGAAAGATGCGGTGTACGAAGAGCATTAGCATCACAGGACTCATAGAACTGCAGACGGCCTAGTGGCTCATACGAGGTAGCTTCTGTTGATTTCCACCCAAACTGAATCACATATATATAAATATATGTCACACCTACGCTTGAAACTTTCGAACCCTCATCACGGCCCTTGTGGATTTGTTCATTTGATGCATCATGCTATTGTGATTTTGTATGTACAGACAGCACAACATTGTTCAACATCCTCCCAGCGAGCATAAAAAATAATTTTTTCTAAAAAAAACTAGATTTTTTCTAAAAGAAGAGCCCGATCAACCGGGCTGTGGTGGATATCCGGGCCTGTGGGCCACTCCAAGCCACAACAGCCTGTTGGACCAATCTCTCACAAGTCAAGCCTGATCACGGGCCTGACCTGGGGTGTAGAAGGACTCTCAGAACCCCATCAAGCAGGTAACATCAATTTTTCATAATTTTGTCGAAATATTCTTCACCCCCCCCCAAAAAAAAAGGTTTTATTCATGATGTAAAATCAACCAAGTAGGCTAAAATGTAGTTGCTCCTTGTTTTTAAATTACCTGATCAACCAGGCTGTGATTCATAGGTCAGGCTACGAGTAGTTGCGTCCATCAGCCTGGTTGATCAGACCCCCAACAAGGAGACCTAATCAGAGACCGGGCCACGTGAACATTGATGCCCGAAACAAAGAACAGGTAGACCACAGGCAAACTGGCTGTCAATAGACATGAAATCAATGGATTGTTTCAAGCGTAAGTTAGACACATAATGGATCAGGTTGGGCCAATAGGAGCTGCCACGTATGGTACAATAGGCGCTACCACGTATGGGACAATAGGAGCTGTCTCGTACCTGGATTGTACCTGGATGGGGGTTCTGGGACTTGTTCTACTCCCCAAGCCCGGCCCGGGACCACTTAAGTGGTTCTCTGTAGTACATTAGGCATGCCCAACCTCTGAAATAGGGGTAGCGTGAATGACTGCAGGTGTTTAGACTCATACAATGTAGTCAGAGAGAGAGAGAGAGAGAGAGAGAGAGAGAGAGAGAGAGGAGGAGAGATAAAGAGGAAGAGACACTAGGGCGAGCATGTTCGCTAGGGGGGAGATATAAAGATGATGAAACACTCGAAGAGGGAGGTGGAAGAGGAAGGTGGAAGAGTGAGAGGTGGAAGAAAGAGGTGGAAGTAAAGACGACCGAAAGAACAGGGGAAAAGAGCAGCTGCCAATCGAAGATGATGGAGGAGAGCCCCCCCCTCCCCCCCAACCAGGGGGTTAAGAGGACAAGATGGTGAGGGGGCGTTAGAAAAGAGGGAATAAGGAGTAGGAGAGAGAGGCAAGGGAGGAAAGAGGCGGGAGAGTGAGAGAAGGGAAAGAAAGTGAGGGAGGGAGCAAGGGTTCCCTCACAACAAGAGGACATCCACAGAAGGAACAAACTCGGACACAAATTATGAGTGAAAACCCCCAAAACGAGACATAGGCGTATGCTTGAGAGATAAAGAATTATAGTATGCTTGAGAGATAAAGAATTATAGTATGCTTGAGAGATAAAGAATTATAGTATGCTTGAGAGATAAAGAATTATAGTATGCTTGAGAGATAAAGAATTATAGTATGCTTGAGAGATAAAGAATTATAGTATGCTTGAGAGATAAAGAATTATAGTATGCTTGAGAGATAAAGAATTATATCATAATCAATCGTCAGCAACATCACCTTATTCTCAACCAGTGTGACAAGCCTCGTCATCTTAAACACAAGAGAAAACTGGGTAAAATGCCACGAAACTAGTCCCAGAGCTGAGAGGTATGAGCTACGAGGAAGGAGTAAAGAAGGTAAACTTCACGTCATAGAAGGACAGAAGAAACAGTAGGCATGATCACCACAAACAAAATACTCTCAAGAGGAATAGCCAGGGCAAATAAGACAGAATAAAAAGTATATTGTATGTACATAATAATATACTTAATAATACTTAATGTACTTAACATATACTCTAATATACTGAAAGATAATTAATATACTTAACCTATACTCACACGTGTAAGGACACAGACGGCAACTGGGTACCCAAACGAGGCACTGACATCATGAACAAACTGTTCACCGCCAGCAAAGTGAACACATTGAACACGCTAAGATGTGTGGAGGTGGAGGCAGACTCCATACACACACAGCTTTAAATGTAGCTATGACAGAGCCCAATAGGGTTTAGCGACAGGGTCCAAGAGCCCAGCTTATCCCTCTGGCGAGCCTTACCCCCCACTGGTGAGAAATATCCCCCCCCCCCTATCGGATGAGTAACCCCCCCCCCCCATGGGTAGCCCCACACCCCCCTCCTCTAGTGAGCACCTCCCCCCTCACCAAGCCTCCCAGAACGGGAGAGGTGGATAGAGTGCTGGTCACGGGTATGGGCAGGGGGCGCAGATACTGGCAGAGGGGGGGGGCGTAGATATTGCCAGGGGGAACGCAGATATTGAGAGGGGTCCAGATAGTGCATGCACGGAACAGAAGCGGAAAGCCAAGAAAGGATAAATCTAAATAGAGAAGGAATCTATAAAGAAGAGAGAGAGAGAGAGAGAGAGAGAGAGAGAGAGAGAGAGAGAGAGAGAGAGAGAGAGAGAGAGAGAGAGAGAGAGAGAGAGAGAGAGAGAGAGAGAGAGAGAGAAGTAAAAGTGAAGGCAGGCAGTACACGGAGGACGAAGTGTGGGGTAAAAGAGGGGAATAGTGAGGCGGGAATAAAATGGGTGAGAGGGGGAAACGAAGGGTGAATAAAGGGGACAAGCGTAGAGAAGTGTGTTGGTGCGGCGGAAGGGAGAGGTGAAGCAGGAAGGAGAGCAGGTGGAAGAGATAGGAGAGAGAGAGAGAGAGAGAGGAGAAGAAGCAGCAGCAGCAGCAAGAGGAACACCACACCAGTGACAACCTCAGAGAAGATGGTGGTGCAGCAGCAAGCCAACAGAAGCAGGAAGCCAGGAGTGTAGGCGACTCAGGTTACTAAAAAAACTCGTGGCGCCGACGTAACCCCACGCTGCCTCCCTCTCCTGCTGGGTCTCCTGCTGGGTCTCCTGCTGGCGGAGCTCCTCCAGCAGTGAAAACCCTCCCTCCTCCCTCCAGCAGCCACGGCGCCGTAGTGCTTCGTTGCTCCCTGACCGCTCGCCCGTGAAGATCGTCAGCCTCGAACTCCCCCTCTGACTAGAAAAAGAACTCTTTAGAGCAGATCGCGAGCTTACACTCAACGGTTCTTAGGCTGAAGGGGAAAACACACGTAGTCTACCCAATAGGCTCACATCAAAGTCATTCGGATAAGCCACTCCGTTGATTTGTTTTAAATGCCAGAAACAAGTATTGCCACCACAGGTCAGGTGGAGACACACACACATAGGAAAGACGACACATAGACACACATAGAAAGACACACAGACACACATAGGAACACGAAGGTCGAGGATAGACGATACAAGGTAAAGTAACCTCCCTATGTGTATAATCGAACCTTCCAAAGATTTTTTAAAATATCAGCATAGGCCTACTCATGAAAAATTGATCTTGCTGTCGAAGATGTCAAAAGAGAATTAATTCTTGACAACTTTTGTTTTGTTTCTGAAATCCGGCTCGAAAAAAGGAGAGATTGCATCACGGAGAACACATTTTTTTATACCTTGTAAGTTGCTTCTGCGTCACTGCCTATTACAGTGGTCTCTGCGTCACTGCCTGTTACAGTGGTCTCTGCGTCACTGCCTGTTACAGTGGTCTCTGCGTCACTGCCTATTACAGTGGTCTCTGCGTCACTGCCTGTTACAGTGGTCTCTGCATCACTGCCTATTACAGTGGTCTCTGCGTCACTGCCTGTTTCAGTGCTCTCTGCATCACTGCCTATTACAGTGGTCTCTACATCACTGCCTATTACAGTGCCCTCTACATCACTGCCTATTACAGTGGCCTCTACATCACTGCCTTTTACAGTGGTCTCTACATCACTGCCTATTACAGTGGCCTCTACATCACTGCCTATTACAGTGGCCTCTACATCACTGCCTATTACAGTGATCTCTGCGTCACTGCCTATTACAGTGGCCTCTACATCACTGCCTATTAGAGTGGCCTCTACATCACTGCCTATTACAGTGGCCTCAGCATCACACCCTATTAAAAACGTCATCTGTATCAAACCCGATTATAGATTTCCTCTGCATCACACCCTATTGCAGTAGATTCTGGATCCCACCCTCACACCCTATTAAACATTCCGCGGGTAATATTCCGTAATTGGATGGCAGGAGTAATGTGGTGCTTTGCATACTTCAGCTTTCTTTAACTTCATCATAAAACTGCTCACAAGTCCCTAGAATGGTCAACGGAGAAGCTTAAAGATGCCAGAACTGACTTGGTCTACCTCTGACTTGTCTCCTAGTCTTGCTGAAGGACGAGAAGAGTGCTGGAGGCTGGAACATACCTGCAGAGGGTTTCAAGAGTGATTTTGCTCCATGAAGCCCGGCCTGGGTTCAGGCTGTGATTCGTCAGTATCATCATAAAGACGAATATGTCATCAGTGATATACACAACAGCATAGAGGACTATAACCCCCGAAGGACCCCTTAGAAAGTGGCGACTTTCTCGACTCTTAAGATGCCATTGAGGAGGCTCTGGCGCTGATGTGATCCCTCTGAAGTGTATCAAAGTCCGCCAGGATGTGTCGCAAGAAAATCAGGAGACTCCTAAAAAAGAAAGGTTTCTACTATCTACTATATAGATAGTAGATAGTTTCTACTATCTCGGCTACTATTAAAGGTAGTAGTCGTGATTCGCCAGGAGCCCTGCGTTTGATGGCGGGCTAATGTCTCCCAGGAAGAATTTCAAGGTACCTGCTTGATGGGGTTCTTGGAGTTCTTCTACTCCCCAAGCCCGGCCCAAGACCAAGCCCGGCCCGAGGCCAAACCCGGCCCGAGGCCAAGCCCGGCCCGAGGCCAGGCTTGACTTGTGAGAGTTTGGTCCACCAGGCTGTTGCTTGGAGCGGCCTGTACTCATCAGCAGAGAGCGTCAGGCCAGTATTGCTATATAGCACATTGAAGGACTACGAGGACAAGGAACTGGGATATGAGAGAAGGGAGGAATGGAACAATGCTCAACCACTGGAAGTATTGAGGGATCGAACGCCACCCCTGTAAAACCCCAACCCGCCACTCTACCTTCCAGTCCAAGTGGATGGATTAGTCTAACCACTTGATCTAAATAACCATGGTCTAAATAACACTGTCACTTTGGACGTAATTGTCAGATCGGGAAAATTAAGGTGCAAAGGAATCAATCTGTAAGCATATACGACCAATGAACTTCTCAATAGGTTATATGAGTTTGTGAAGGTTGCTAAATTCCTAAACCAAAAACCACTTCAAATTAAACCCTTTTAGGAAGAGTGACGTCGCGTAACCCCACCCAGCACCATATAGGCCTAGGTAACTGATCCTACAGTACATAGGCCCCCCTTGTAAAAGGTCTTTTCGATATTTCAAAGTTGTTAACCCATAAGACATAGGCTTGCTGGAACCAGATTCACAAAGCAGTTACACAAGCACTTACGAACCTGTACATCTTTCCTCATTCTTTGGTGGGTTTGTTTACAATTATTTAACAGTTAATGAGCTCCGAAGCTCATTAACAATAAAATAACAGTTTTATTGTTGTTATTGTTATAAACAGGCTGTTTATAACAATAAAAACAGTTTATTGGGAAGTTTTCATGCTCCTAAATTGTTTAATAAATGTAACCAAAGCCGTCAAAGATTGAAGAAAGATGTACACGTTCGTAAGTATTTGCGTAACTGCTTTCGTGAATCTGGCCCCTGCACTCCCCCCTGACCCCCCAGGGACCTTGGGCTGGCCCCAAGATTCATGGAGACGGAACAATTGGGAACACATTTTCTCAAGTTTCACATCCGGAAGGTTTGGGTCTTAAGAACGAGGGGGGACACAAAAGCCTAAAAAGACCTCAAAGATAAGACGAACAAAAGATACAAAAATGCCAACGGGTTCGTTAACAGAATGGACCTCAGCAACGGAGGTAGGGGGGGGGGGTGGTGATGAAGAGGATAAAACCCCAGACTTGAGGATAAAACCCCAGACTTGAGGATAAAACCCCAGACTTGAGGATAAAACCCCAGACTTGAGGATAAAACCCCAGACTTGAGGACAAAACCCCAGACTTGAAGATAAAACCCCAGACTTGAGGATAAAACCCCAGACTTGAGGATAAAACCTCAGACTTGAGGATAAAACCCCAGACTTGAGGATAAAACCCCAGACTTGAGGATAAAACCCCAGACTTGAGGATAAAACCCCAGACTTGAGGATAAAACCCCAGACTTGAGGATAAAACCCCAGACTTGAGGATAAAACCCCAGACTTGAAATTTTCATTTAATCACCATTTCCCCGTCGCAAAGGATCATTTAACGTCACCAGGAAGATGAAATACTTTTCATCTGGTTGACACAGTCGTCTTCACGGTATCTGCCAACACACCCTGAGGGGGGGGGGGGGAGTTGAAAAGGGGTGGGGCGGATTTGTGGTGGGAGTGGGGGATGAAAGGTGTTATGGGGGGGAGGTCGAACTTTTGTGTTAGAAGGGGAAGGAGTGGCGGTGGACGAGCTTGTGTTGGTTAGGAAAGAAAAGGGGGGGAAAAGAGGGGGCAGATCCGCTTGTGTTTCGAGGTAGTTAGTTAAGCCAAAGGCAATGTTGTGAATACTTGAGGTGCGAGGGGGGAGGTAGGTGGATAAAAAGAACTTCAGCGGTTGTGAGAAATGAATGTGACGGAAACCATAATAAGTGATGTGTGTTTCCCTTCAAACATTAGGTAGGCAAAAACAGCCTTTCTCTGTGCTTAGGACTAAATAGCTCCTTATGAAGGCTCTCGGAAGAGAACCACAGATGCATTTCCGTCGCCTCCTACGAGCCACAGATTGCATTCTGCACCTCTGTAACATTATGTTCAGTGTCAGGTGGACGCAGCCTTACAGACATAGCTCATTTTCTGTTGGCTAATTAGAAACAGTTCATTAACAAATAGGTAATAAGCAAATATCTTATAGACAAATAGATAATAAGCAAATAGATAATAAACAATTAGCTGTTAAACAAATAGTCAATCAAAGAAATTATTAATAAACGCACCTGGGGGGGAAAGAAGTAGTTCACGACATATTGGCTAAACCACAAGATTAAGCGTTCCTATTCTTGAATCACCCTGGGGAAAAAAGAATAGAGAAACTAAGAACAGCGACGAAAGCAGAACAAAGGTGGAGTGGTGGTGGCGGAGTAAAGAATCAATGCCAACAGGAAGGTGTCTGCCATTTACTCTCAGGCATTAAACTCGAAAAGAAACGCTATTCCAGAGAGCGAGAAAGGCAACAGCACCAACACTTCCCGTCGGCAGGAACCCATGAAAGACCAGCTCGTGAGTGAAATCAAACACCGACAGCGAACGAACTCGTCAGCGCGAGGGCGGCAGCGGCGGGCCCATACGGTCACGACTTCGATGCTGTGACATTGAGGGCCATCGACAAGCATTTTACAGCACTTTAAAACGCCTCGTTGAAAGCCTATAGGTCATCTGGGAAAATAGATCCGAGTCTTACTTCAAGGCCGGATGGAGAGTTACCTCCCTGGAGCCAGATTCACGAAGCAGTTACGCTAGCACTTACGAACCTGCACATCTTTTCTTAATCTTTGGCGGGTTTGTTTACAATTATTAAACAATTAATGAGCTCCGAAGCACCAGGAGGCTGTTTATAACAATAACAACAGTTGATTGGGACGTTTTCATGCTTGTAAACTGTTTAATAAATGTAACCAAAGCCGTCAAAGATTGAAGAAAGATATAAACGTTCGTAAGTACTTGCGTAACTGCTTTGTGAATCTGGGCCGTGGGCCCTTTGTCATAGCCGGTCCTTCCAGCAGTTGGTTCCGATATGGTGGTTAAGGGTCGTCGTTCCATCATGCCTCCTTACCCTGCCTTCTTGCAGGAGCCGAAGCCTTTGTTTGCGTAACCTAAGGAGTAGGGGAACAGCCACGATTTTTTGGTTACGCCGGAAACGAAAGTTTCAGGTTAGGCTATGACGGTGAGGCGTGGAGAGGAAGGCAGTAAAGTGGTGAAATAAGGAAAGGGACAAATATAGAGAGAGCGGGGATCCGAGACCCCCTCGGTTATAAAGGGTGGAAGAGGGGAAAAGAGTATTAAAATAAACATGGGGGCGTTTTTAAGGTTAAAAACGAGAGAATTTGCCAGTGAATTCCCCTGGCTGTAAACGTCTTAAACCCAGTCTCTCCCCCCTTCAGTGTACCACTGAAACCAAGAACCTACAGTGTATCACTGTAACCCCCTTTACAGTGTACCACTGAAACCAAGCCCCCCCCTCAGTGTACCACTATAACCCCCCCTCACAGAATACCACTGAAACCAAACCCCCATCAATGTACCACTTTAATACAAGACGTCGCCAGCCTAAATATGAAAAAAAAATAAAAAGACCCCAGCCACGCACAATAGGCCTAGGGCACAACCCACTGAGATCGTAATCACGGAAAATCACGGAAGATATCGCAGTTCACCCGAAGCCTCGCGCCCCACTGAACTAAAGCTGCCGAAGGAAACCGCAATGACCAGGAACCAAAATCACGTCCTTCCATGCTATTGTCTCGCCTCACCCTGCACCCCCCCCCCCCTTCCAAACCACGGGAGGAGCAGAACACGCAGATATAACCATATGTGTGTATACTCAAGGTATAGTCATAGAAATAAATCATACACAACCAAATGCTACTCTGGGTATAATGGGTATATATACTGATGAGAACACGAGGCTATCAAAACAGCAGTGCAAAGTACACGAATCAAGAAGACCTGTGAAAAGTATTCAAGTATAAGTGTTTTGTACAAAAGATAAATAAATATTGTCTAAGTGACCACAGAAGCTCTGAAAATAAGTTGTATATCTATAAACTAGAATGTTTATTTGTTTTTGTTTCTCTCTCTCTCTCTCTCTCTCTCTCTCTCTCTCTCTCTCTCTCTCTCTCTCTCTCTCTCTCTCTCTCTCTGTTCGATTTTAAATACCGATGCTTGGGGACTAGACTCATCCAAATTTTAACAGTAATTCCTGCTGGGTAC